AGTATCTTTTTCCATCCTTTTACTTTCAGCCTATGTGCATCTTTCGTTCTGAGGTGGGTCTCTTGTAGCATATATATAGGTCTTGTTTCCTTTTTTTTTTTTAATCCTCACCCAAGGATATGGTGTGGGGGTTTTTTAATTGATTTTAGAGAAAGAGGAAGGAAGAGAGAGAAACAATGATGTGAGAGAGAACCACTGATCAGCTGCCCTCCCCTCAATATGCCCCAACTAGGGACTGAACTCTCAACCTAGGTATGTGCCCTGACCAGAAATTGAACCCACAACCTTTGGTGTAAAGGACCAAGCTCCAACCAACTGAGCCACCTGGCCAGGGTGGGTCTTGTTTTCTTATCCATTCAGCTACTCCATGCCTTTTGATTGGAGTCTTTAATCCATTTACATTTAAAGTGATTATTAATAGGTATGTAGTTATTGCCATTTTATTCTTTGTAACTATGTCTTTTTCTCTCTTTTTTTAAAAAAAATATATCTTTATTGACTTCAGAGAGAGGGAGAGAGAAGGAGAGAGATAGAGATAGAAACATCAATGATGAGTCATTGATTGGTTGCCTCCTGCGCATCCCCCACTGGGGATCAAGCCCACAACCCAGGTGTGTGTCCTAACCGGGAACTGAACCTCAATCTCTTGGATCCTAGGTCGAAGCTCAACTGCTGAGCCATGCTGGCCCGGCTCTTTTCTCTCTTTTTAAAGAAGCAAAAAATAACACTTTAAAGGGTGATATTCTATAAAACCTCACAATTCTTAGTTTTCCCCATCATGAGTGACACCTATAGACATTCTATAAATAAAGAACTAGGGTTAGATCCATTTCCTTCATGCTCTCCTTAATGTTTAATCTTGATCAAAATTCAAGAAACAAGCAAGATTGAAAACTGTAACTTTAAACCTTTAAATACAGTCTCTTCTCAATGAGAACTGGACCCAGGATGAAGCATTCCTTCACTTTCTCACGTTAATATAGTTCATTCCAAATATGACCAGCTTCAAGGATTTCAGAGGCTGCATTAGATGACTGTGCCTCACAGCTTCAGGATTTAATGTGTGAGATAACACAAGGTACTCAACATGGATTGATCAGTCTATTAATATAAGACATTCCTTTTTAAGTCATTCACAAATATGTGTTTTTGCTTTAAGGTTAGTCACACTTTTTATACCTTTACTTTGTTTTGTTTTTTAACTAAAAAGGAGTAAGGATTATATCTAATTGTGCTATGTTAACTCTCTCTATAGAGTTTGTTCTTGCTCATGCAGCAATCCAACCACCTGTCTACTCTTGGACTCGCCTCCCTCCAGCTGACTGTTGCTTTCCCATCTTCACAATGAAAGAATGACTTTGCCATGCCAGCCAATTAAAGTCTGTCCCTTTCTTTTCTAGGAAGAACTCAGCCTCAGTATTGCCTATTCACAGAAAGTGTAACTCTTCTTCCCAATGTTTATTTGTTTCTGGCATGTACTTTGCTACCCCAAAGTACACTGTTTCCAGTTACTTCTGAGCCTAGTAATATTCCTTATACAAAGGCCAGATTCAAAGTGATATGATAGCTCAGGAAAGCATTTTCTCACAAATTATCTTACGATTTAATGATCTCATTTGAACTTTAGTTCCAGTGGTTCTCAAACTGCAGTACCCAAGAGGGCAGCATCAGCCACAACTAGGGGCTCATCAGAAAGGCAGATTCGAGACCTCTGAGTCAGCCGTCTGTGTCATAATGGGCTCTGGGAGATTCTGGTGCAAATTAAAGGTTGAGAACCTGCTGAATTAGATGTCTATGCTCATCCAAAACTCCTGATGTTGACCCTGTCAACGCAGGTATGTACCTCCCTCTTATTGTGCTGCATGCTACTTAATAACCCTGTTATTTTGCTCACAGCCTTGAGCAACCAGGGACTGCTGGCTGATAATTCTGGAAATTTTCCAATGCAGCCTCTTGAAAAGATTGCTCTGATGTTTACTTTGACCTAAGCACAAAGATAAAGCCTGCGCTACCATCAGATTCCTCTCAATAGCTTATCCTCCAATTTTATCAATCTCTTAAAACTGAAGACAGCAAACTACTAAAATTGAATACAATTTGGATAAACACACTTCCACTCCCCTCATTCCTGCAAAACTCACATTTCCCTTGTGCTATGATGAGGAATCATTTCCAGTTATGCTTTGTAGCTCTGTACCTTCCACCTCACTGTCTATAGTATTTCTTTCTATCACTTTATGGATCTCACTACTAAACCTCTCTTCTATTGCCAATCATTGTTCCAGTGATTCATTCCTCCCATTGACTGTGACTTGACAAATGGGTCTTCCATTGTCTGTCTTTATCAAATAAGATCTGCTCTTAAAATTTCAAATGCCAATGAAACAGAAACATTTGTAGTTCATGTGGTTGTCCTACTTTCTTATTACACATATTTCCAAGTCTCTTATCCATTTAGGAACATGACTACCTGTCTTCTGAAGTCTAAGTTCCTCAATGAGGCATTTAAATGGAGCTTTCTTCTCCACGTATGTCGTCTTCCTAGCCTTTTCTAAAAACACCAACAGCACCACCCTGATGACTGAGAATGTTTCCCATCCACCACATCCAGATGAACCTCAGGTCCAATCACTAGTCCACCATATCATCATAGACACCAGGCTCAATCCCTAATCCACCACCTTATCACAGAGACCACTGAACCTCACAAAGCTACTCCCTTTCTCTCTGGACTAACTATAGACACTCATTGTTCCCAACATCCTCATCTCAAGTCTCAGCCCCCCGTGTCCACCTTGGAAGTAGACCCCAAAACCTATGCAGTCTGAGCATTCCTTCTAATGTACCACATCTTTCTTCCACAACTGTGATGACCATGATGGGGTTCAGGGAACACTACCCCGAGATAGGGCACCTTGGCATAGTGATATTTTAAGCTGAAGGAGTTCTAGGAAACGGCAGAAGCAAGATGGCAACTCACCTTCCCCCTGCCCTCCTCCCCTGAAGCAGTCATAAAGCCCTCATATACGAGGTGCCCTCCCTACACTCAGAGAAAAGGAGAATCCGTATCTCTGAAAACAAGGGGATACCAAGAAGAATCCTAACAAACAGACCTTCCTAGGTCTCCCCCAGTGTACTACACTTACCTCACACCCCTTGACTTACCTACCATATTTCTCCACGACTGTCCCCTCTCCACCAAACCTAAAATAAAAATTCTTAGGCTTAACTGTTTCTTCAGATATTCATTTCCTCACGAAAGCTTCCTATCATGTAAAACTTATATTAAATAAATTTGTATGTTTTCAGTTTAATTTTCAGACCCAGCCAGGGACCCTAGGAGGGTCGAGGAAAACTTTTTTCCTCCTCTACATTAAAGTGACAAAGACGGATTTACAGGAGAAACTCTTGCCATTTTCTCAGACTCCTTCAACTTAAATATTATGTCAAGGTGCCACATTTTGGAGTAGCATGTCCTGAACTCAGCTATTACACAGTTAGCATCTTCTCTTGGTTTACTCAATACACAGCCAAATCACTAACTCCTCTCTAGCCACTATACCCCTTTCTCTGTCCCAACGTCTCTGCCACACCTTTCCTTTTAGATTTACTGCAACATTATGTTAATCTAGCCTGAATAAAAACCAGTCTAGCCAGGCCGGTGTGGCTCAGTGGTTGAAAGTTGACCCAAGCACTAAGAGGTCACTGGTTTGGTTCCTGGTAAGGGCACAATGCCCAGGTTGTGGGCTTGGTCCCCAGTAGGGGGTGTGCAGGAGGCAGCTGATTAATGTTGATGTTTTTCTCTCATAGATGTTTCTATCTCTCCCTCTCCCTTCTTCTCTAAAATCAATAAAAACATTTTTTTAAAAAGTCTGCACCTAAAACCAACTGTTCTGGACAACATATAATCCACTGTAAAACCCACTGCTCTGTAGAATATGTGTTTATTGCTCAATTATAGTAGGAATCTATGTATATGACATATGTGTACGTGTACAATACATTCATAATTACGTTGCCATATTTTGATATTATTGCAAGATACAGAACTAGATATTAGATAAGGGTATAGAAGGTGCTAAACATATCTGCTATTATTAAAGTGTAAAAGTCAAGGCCCTCAGAAAAGATTATGAGTTAAAGTAAGAAAATCAGTGTTCTTTTCTTCAAATCCTTTGGTGTTTAGATGCCAAATTCCTTGCTGGTGTTTGTCCACTTGCCGGCAGTGCAATGCACCTCCAATGGTGATAAACAGAGACTCCCAAATTATTCATGTAAATACTCCCAAATCAGGCCAGGGCATATGGGTCACTGTGCAGGTTTTTGTTCTCTGTATAACATGAATTTATATAGATGTACATATCTGAAAACTGTTTTCTAAAAAGCCATATCAAACTTAAAATATAACACCCTTGTTTCTTTTAAAGAAAGCAGGGAATGTTGGAGGAGGAGGAAGAGACAAAGAAGACAACAGTGACAATGATGACAGCAGAGCCCAGACGTTTCAGCTTCCACAAAATAGATGGCTGCCTTTCAGAAAGCAAAATCTGTAAGTGTTCATTTTTTCATTTAAGCTTTCCAGAGATCAAGTCTCAATGAAAAATTTTATTTTTATTGGTTTTTATTGCTCTGTGCAATTTCCAAATTAAGTGACTTCACTGTGGGTGGGACTTTTTTATGTAACACATGCCATCATTGAGTATCCCTAATGATGTTCTAGCTGTTGGCTTACACAGGCTGCTGCTTTATCTGAAAAGGCGGGAAGCATGCAGAGCAGTTAAACACTAAGGAACAGGGGGAAGCTACCAGTGCTCACCAGTAGATAAACAGCACAATGAGCTGGCATGGTTACAAACCAAAAGGCACATTCTTCCCCTGATTTTGATTTGTTATCAGAGTTTCAGTGGAAAACAGGCACAGGAGGACGGCAGCAGAGGAAGCAGGAGGCCACTGTGTCCGAGCGATTCTACCAGCCTGGGCTTGCTCACTGAATCACTCACCTCATAGCCTTTCTCCAGCAGGAACTCAGCCAAGTACGAACCATCCTGGGAAGAGAAGGAAAATGGACAAACGTCAGGCCCATCATGACCAGGCAAGAAGGTAGCCAAGACTAGGAGTTTTGAAGAAATAACTTGAGAGGCTATGCGAACTTAAATTAAAAATCATGGCAAAGTATCACAGACAATGATGGTGAACACTGAATGGTGTTCCACCATTCACTATACATTCTCGTGGGTGTGATTTCATCTGAATGCCACAGAGCACGGAAAAGTTTCATCACTGTCACACTCACAGAGAGACTGAAATCAGGCAGTTAACATGGGGCTAAAAAAAACATGACGATGGATTTAGAGTTAGGCTTTGCCACTTGCTAGCTGTATACAACAGCAATTTCCAACCTATGTGCCACAAAAATTTTTAAAACATGCAGTACCTGACTATTTAGTCAGGGGCATTTACCTCTTTTTCCTTAGACTGTCAAATAAAAAATGACAACAGCCAACACAACAATAGCCAGCTGGTGTGAATGAATCAAAATTATACTTATTTTTTTGTCAGATCGACAAATAACATTTTTTTTGGTGTGTTGCAGAATTTTAGTAATTAGTTTATGTGTACCATGAGATTAAAAAAAAGGTTGAAAATCGCTGGTGTAAAATATGCAAAGTATGTGAGGCAAAGCAGAAGGCCTTGGTAATATAGGAACATGAAACAAAACTCTAATTTTGAGGGTTGCAAAAAGGCATCTCTGGGGAAGGGATGAGATAGTAACTATGGAGGTTCGGGGAGAGAGCAGGTGAGTGTGAGGAAGAGGCAGAGAATACCAGAGTGCTGACATCACTGAGAAAAGACACCATGGTGGAGAGGCCTTTGAGGGAAGGCCTTCCAGGAACCGCTTCTAACCCAAGGATTCTGTAAAGTCACTAAAGAAAGGATATTAAGGTGGGAGTGAGGGTGGGGGGTGGTAGACATGATCAGATTTGTATTATCACTGAATATATGTGTGCATGCACACAAACTTAAAAGGAAGGTATTTATCTTTTTTATAGAATAGCAGCATCTTAAACGATTCAGTTAATCTCTACATTAAATGAGGGGGTCTAGCCCAACTGGAGTGACTCGGTTGGTTGAGCATCACCCTGTGCACCAAAAGGTTGCTGGTTCAATTCCTAAACAGGGCGCATACCTGGGTTGCAGGTTCTATCCCAGGTTGGGACACATGCGGGAGGAAACCCATTGATGTTTCTCTCTCTCTCTCTCTCTCTCTCTCTCTCTCTCTCCCCCCCTCCCTCTTTCTCTTTCTCTTTCTCTTTCTCTTTCTCTTTCTCTTTCTCTTTCTCTCTCTCTCCTTCTCTCTCTCAAGCATGTACTCTGGTGAGAATTAAAAAAAAAAAAGTAGTAGTAGTAGTAGTAGTAAATGAAGGTGTTTAAACACAGGGATTTTCAACTGGGTTTTAAAAATTTCCGGGTAAGAATGGTCCATTTAAACTAATATATTCTATGTGCCACTTGTAGGTACAGAAAGTATGAGAAGTCACCATTCTAGAGGTATTATAAAAAGTCATCAGCCCTGCTCAGAAAATGAATTGCATGGATACTTGCAAGCAATCCTACAACTGCTCTTCTGCTTTTAATCTTGTAGGACCCCACCATTCCATCCAGACACACAGAAAAATGGGAGGCTCCAACTATAAGAAATCTGTATACTCAAAAGTAATTGGGAATATTTGGGTCTTCTTTGGTTTCCTCTATTTAAAAAAAGCTTAATATAACCCCTTGAGCTTCAAAAGTTCCTATCTGATACACCAGGAAAGAGAAGAAAGAAGAAAGCCTTATTATTACCCTTACTTGTACGGCTGGACTTGGAGACACCTGAGTCCTGGAAATCACCAGACTGCCGAGAGAGTGTTTACTGCATTAATGCAGAATACAGAAATCAAGCATAAATTCAGCAGGATGGCCAGGCAGGCATGCAGGGGACACACTCTGTGGTTCACTGAAACCTCCAGCAGTTTCTCCCAACTTCTCAACATAAACGCCCTGGCTTATAGACTCATGTGGAGAAATGGTTTGGCACACTCCTTTCCTTTCAATCTTATAATATACACAGCTGCGTAATTTTTATATGTCCAATATGCAAACTAAATCAGACAGGAGAGCTAAATAATTCAGACCAGAACAAGCCAGGTCCTTCTACATGACCATCAGAAATAGAACAGTCAGTAGTCTTACACATCAATCAGTGAGAAAACTGCTTAGGTAACAGAAAGCAGTTACAGTAAGACAAACACTTTTACGGTATGTGGGAAAGCCTATGAAGTGTGTTTTGCTTGTTTTATCGTGTTGGTGTTGTCATTTTGAAGCAGGCAATACCAAACTTATCACGTTTTATCATTTCTCTTGGAATAAAAAGTTAAAATGCTTTATGTTCTACCATAGCTGCAGAGAAAGTTTTAGGGGTTTTTTTGGTCTTTTTTGAGGCAGAGGTGAGAGTGCTAGAGACCCATGGGGGTGGGAGAGCTGTGATTGTGTAGAAGGCTGATGTGAAACAGACCTGGCAGGACTGAACCCTGTCAGTGAGGTCTTGTTCTTCTCACTCAGGCCACGTCTCAGACTTTCCAACCGCGCTGGAACATTCTGAACCAGCAGTGGCATGTGCTTCCTCCTCACTTCCTTGCCAGGCCTCCCAAGTGATAGGGCCTGGGCAGTACAATGAGAGGGAAGTTGAGCACAGTGAGGTCTCTTGGTCTGTCTAAGGGCACCCAGCAGGCCTCCCTGTGTCCTCTCCCCAGGTCCCCGAGGGGTCTCCACTTGGAGACACATATCTAAGCAGACAGGAGACCACCAGGCCAGCAGGATTATTGTTCCTGCCTGCTCTAGAAGAACAGACTAATGGCAAAAATGCCACGGTAACTGAGAACCTGCAACCAACACGAAATTCTCACACTCAACTCCTCAGAAAGCAAGGAATTCATGAACTAAATTTCCAACTCATTCGCTGTGAACACAATTAGTCTGATACATATTCCAGCCTGGGTTCAATCCCTGTTACAGAAAACTTTTTAATTGGAAAAATAATGTCCCAATTGTGACTCTTAAATTTAATTTTGCACGTGGTTATTAAGAGTATCCATTTCATATTAAATGCTATGTAGTTTTAAGTAATCACCATGGCTTTAACATTTTCAAGACACAGAAATATTTTCTCATTTTTACAAGAACTCAGCCTAGAAGGCAAGGAGCCATTTGGCGTCTGAGATAACTAAGGTGCATGGAGGTTAGCCAACTTGCCCAAATCACACTAGAGGTGGAGCCAGGCCTAGAATCCACATCCTGTATTACTTCCACCTGTGAAACAACCTCCTTCCTCACCCTCCTCTCTACCTGGGATGTACCAAAACACATCTAAACCCAACCAAATAATAAAATAACACAAGTAGATTCCTTTTAAAACAAATTGATTTAGTTATTTACCATTACAGAGTATTTTTATGGATTAAACAGTGCTCCTCGTTTTAATCAGGTGACCCAAACCCTGAGATGTCTCATAATTTTTAAACACTCCAGAGTTCAAAGGAAGAAGACAGAACATAGCATCTGAACTTCCTCAGGCCTCATTTGGGCTCATGCGCTACTCAGGAAGCAGTATAGTGTTGTTTGGAGGTCAACTTGGAATGTTGGTGGATACATGTTTTGGGCTTGGGCAGGGCCACTGTCAGGGTTCAAAGGGCAAGATTGAGGTGTGCCAGATACGTACGGTCCCTATACTTGGATATCTCTGTTCTTCACCTTTCACGAGTACTTAGAAACGTTCCAGATAAACAGCCATAAACATTAAGAGTAACTCCAGAAATTAGCTAAATTATATCTTGGCTATAGTATGAAAACTACCTTAGATTTCACATCTACAAAAAGCAGATGAAGGACAGGAAGTTTTCCCCTTCTCCCAATGGCCACAGAAGGCTAAAAAAGCACAACTGACCTTCATCTCAAATCCATGTCCAAACACGTGTGTGCCGGGCAGTCTACCTGCCTGCAGAGAAGAAAGACTAGCATTTCTCTTCTCTCATCAAACATGGACAAACTTATGGCCCAGAAGGACAAGTGAACAGGATACTTTCTTCTATGCAATTTGAGATTCTGGCCCCTCTGAACTGCATACTAAATTATGCTGTACATTTCTGCCTAAGCACCTTTTGGCAGCTTCTTTGAACAGAGTAAGATAAGTGGTACTGGGCTAAAGAAATCATGCCATAATAAAACAAATGTCTTTGTTTACAATTAGATCACCTCAAGCATCAGGAAAAAGAATACTCTTCTGTAAGAAGAAAAAGCATGAGTTTACACCACCTTTTATGTCTTTAACTCTCTGTATTCTAATTACTCTAAAGCTAATTGCAGCTACAGTATAAAAGTAATTGATATCTACAATAAGAAAATGCAAACACCTCAATAAGTAACAGAAGGTGCTGTTTTGATTTAAAATCAAAACTTCCAAAGGCAAGATTAGCCTCTATAGTGTGAAGAGCCCAGAAGCAGGCTATATTTGAAAAGCATTTTAACCTGGCTCATGTTTGTAACACAAATCATTGAATAAAATTTGTCAGACTCACACAATTCAAAAGACCATAGGGATTAATTAATCCACCTCTCATTTTACAGATCAGGAAATTGAGATTCAAAACAGTGAAATGTTTAGTGTACAGTCACAGTTAGAAAGCAGCATAAGCTGTAACCCCCTGCAAAAAACAAAAAGCCAACAACAAAAAACAGGTCTCCATACTCCCAGACCTCAGAATTTCTCACTAAAAATACAGTGAAAAGATCTGATTGAATGTCTACAGCTGAGAACCAAGTGAAAGACACCATGCATTGTCAAGTAAGCCACAAGTACACAGCCATCAATTATCAGAAGAGTAACAACTGATTGACTGGTAGACAAGAAACAAGGACACCATCAATATTTAAAACATATAAATAACTCCCATCTCCTGTATTCTTCAAAGTTGAAAATTATTTCTTCATAAAAGCTGCCGTCGGAA